TGAGTGGAACTTTTATTGTAATTAAAATGTGCTGCTTTTAAAGAAAAATGTAATGTTAGTATAAACTACCCTAAAAAAAATATGAAAAGTAAAAACCAAAAAAAAAAAAAAAGGAATTCCTAATACTTTTTTTTTATCTATCATACTAATAATCTTTTCATTTTTCCAATTTCCTCTCACCGTCTATGTTAGAATTCTTTTTTTAATTTTTCTCTTTTACTTATTTTATTTAACTTACACCTTGATTATACTAAAAAAAAAGTAACTCCAAATTTTATGTGTAACTATATTCCATTTTAATAGTTGGTTGTGTTCATGAATCACAATAGATGAATTCAGTTTTCTCGCATACTAAACTGGCAATAGGTTCATATAAAACGGTGTTAATAATTATTCACGATGGCCGGCTACTTAATATGCACCCCGTTGCAGAGCACCACATCATATACCGTCTACCACTATGAGGCCATCGACCTCGTGAGGCCCTCCACGTTCACACAAGGTCGCCTACCACCATGCGACCAATACTATACTTAGCCAAATAAATGGCAATGAATTAGACGAAAACCGTCCAGCAGCGAACATGGGCACAACCAACCGCTTGACGACTGGGAGTCACAACTCTAGAACGTGGGGGAAGTGGGAAGGCATACGTGAGACACGTGGCACAATTAATCATAGAACGGGAGCGTGTCTTCAGGTGCCTATAAATACCTCCAAGGTGAGAAAAGATATTCTTTTTGAAATCCGAACTATTTGAATTCCACTATAATATCTTCATATTTTCAAAAACCGAACACTAATTCTCGCGCCGAAGGTATAACGGAGGAGAAAGCCCCGACCTCATTCTGCAGGTAGCAAACACTGATCGCAGCAACCGGAACACCATTCACGTCAAGGAGAACATGGAATTTACCTCATTACTATTTCATTGGCACCGTCTGTGGGAAACCACTGAACAAAAAAGCTATGTCAATGAGATGGACACGAAGTGAAACATGCATAGTCAGGAGCATGATAGACATGGAGTCATAATCTATTGCAAGGGGTCATGACCCGCCACCGCCACTGTGGTACGTAATGTAAGGCCAATTTAATGCCTTGAAAACATAGTTGACAGCCATGATGACCCTCTTGTAGAGTCAGACGTAGAAAATCGCAGCCCCACACAAAACTCGTCAGAAGTAGTGCGTGAGCAACCACCCTGGTGGCACAAATGGTTACTCCGCCTATTACTTAACCAATAACAGGAGACTCGAGGGCTACATGATTTGTGGTTCCACAAATTCCCTAACCTATGACAGACTTGAAAAAGAAGATAGAAAATATGATGACCCAGAAGATAGGCGACGTATTAACCAAGAGGAATGATAGGCACGGGAAAATGGTTTTAGAGGAAGATTCATTTGCACTTCAAATTATAGCTATTCCTTTACCGAAGGGCTTCAAACAGCCATTGATAAAAGTATATGATGGAGTCACAGATCCGCTTGACCATTTGCAGACCTTCATTGATTTGATGAGGCTTTATGCTGCCCCCAATGCAATGATGTGTAGGTCATTTCCCCCGACACTTAGGAGAGAAGCTAGAGACTGGGTGGGGGGTGGCCACACTGGCACCTAGGTCTATGAAGACTTTAGACAAACTTTCCATGAGTTTCATGGCATACTTCATGAGCAGCAAGAGGAAATAAAAGACGGCCATTATATTGATACAAGTGGTGCAAGGGAAAGACAAATCTCTGCTGGAGTACTTGGCTAGGTTCAGCCAGGCAAGGCTTGTATAAGGGACCTTCAAATGTCTACAGTAGTGACATCGTTAATGAATGGGACGTGAAACCGGGCCTTCAAAATCTCACTATCAAAAAATTCATCGGAGTCAATGCATGACATGTTGAAGAAGGGTGACAAGTATGTTGACACAGAGGAAGCAGAGAAGGTCACGAAAAATCTTAGAGGGGGATGGGAGACGGAAAGCCATAAGCGAAAGTGTGAAAACCTATTGACAAGGAGAAAATGAGGAATGAGCATGTAAGCATGGGATACCCTCAGGATCGGTCTGTCAGGTAGAGATAGGAGGAGGTTAAAGCCTTCACCCATTTGAATACTCCGCGAGACAAGATATTAATGAAAATTCGAATCATGAAAGAAGTCGAATGGTCGAGGCCGATGGCGGCATCAGCTGGTAAGCGGGATAAGAGTAAGCACTGCCATTTCCATAAGGACCATAGACATGAAACCGAAGAGTGTATACATTTGAATGAGGAGATTGAGCGCATCTTGAAGTGGGGTTTTTGACTAAGTATGCGAGGAATGATCGAGGCAAGCAGAAGGTCGAGGATCGACCGCGGCCTAGGGCCGGCGTCATAAATATGATTGTTGGAGGAATCGCTGTGGGGAGACTTGAACTCTGCTAGAAGAGATATGCACGTACAGCGACGGTCTGTTCCATCCATAGAAAGGCTCGATTCAATCAAAGTATCACTTTTAGTGAAGAAGATTTAATATGCGTGACAACTCCCCATGGGAAGCATTTGAAGGATTAAGAATAACTGTCGAAGGATTGAAAGTGATGTCCACCCCCTTTCTAGGATTTGGAGGGGCTACTGTCATACCAATAGGAGTTGTAGAGCTACCAGTGATGTTGGGTACCTATCCTGGAAGTGTGGTGATCTTAACAAACCTTTTGGAATGCGATCTACGGTTGACCCCTGTTGAATGCTGCGGGGGCTATTCACTCTGCTTATCACAAAGTGATGAAATTCCCAACCAATCGAGGTGTGGGATATATGAGGGGCAATCAACCATCCTCGAGAAAGTGTTACGTGGATAGTATACGGACGAAGGATCACCACCAGTGATGATGCTAGACCTTGAGCCTCGAAGGGGGTGAATTGAGCCCCTCGACATTACGGAAAAAATATTGGTAACAAGAGAGCATAAATTTAGTGTGGGGGCAGGCTTGGAGCACGGAGAGAAAGAAGAATTGGTGAAGTGTCTGTCTGGAAATTTGGATGTGTTTGCGTGGTGCCTAAGTGACATACAAGGGATTGACCCATCCGTTGCACAACATTGCCTCGGTGTCTTACCGGGTGCTAAGTTGATAAAGCAGAAGAAAAGAAATCTTGCCTCGGAGCGGCAAGCTGCAACAAAGGTCAAAGCTGATAAGCTACTACAGGCAGGGTTCATTAGAGAAGTACAATATCCCGAGTGGTTAGCAAATGTCGTCCTGGCAAAAAAACCAAACGAAAAATGGCGTATGTGTGCAGACTACACCGGACTCAGCAAGGTGTGCCCTAAAGACTTATACCCACTACCCAGAATAGACCATCTGGTGGAGCCACATCGGGTCATGACGACTGAGTTTTCTAGACGCATTTTCTGGGTATTATCAAATCTCCATGGCAGAGTCGGATCAGGAGAAAACGTCTTTCATCATTAACGCTGGAACGTACTGTTATACGGCCATGCCGTTTGGTCAAAAAATTCCAGGGCAACCTATCAAAGAATAGTGAATAAGGTCTTCAAAGACCTGCTCGAAAGTGTAATAGAAGTGTACGTGAATGACATGGTCGTTAAGAGTATGAAGGCCAGCAACCATGTAAATGACTTACAGAAGGTGTTCAACATTGCTCGACAAAACAAACTGAAGTTCAATCCGGAAAAGTGTGTTTTTCGAACAGCGGGTGGCAAGTTCTTGGGCTTTATGATCACACAGAGAGGTATCGAGACATATCCAGACAAAATTTGAGGCATTCTAGATATGAAGAGCCTAGAAAATAGGAAAGACGTCCACGGCTGAAGGCCGGGTAGCAGCATTTAATCAATTCATGAGTCGGGCAGCGGATAGGTGCCACCATTTCTTCAAGGCGATTGTGGGCTCTATTAACTTTGAATGGATAAAAGAGTGTCAGGAATCACTGGAATCCTTAAAACAGTCATTGCAGCAGCCACCAGTCTTGACTAGGCCATGCTCAGGAGATGTGCTGAGCTTATTCTTAGCAGTGTCGAAGTATGCGGTCAGTGCAGTACCGGTGAAAGAGTTTCCAGAGATGCATAAGCATATTTACTACTTTAGTCAGGTGTTGAGAGGCGCAGAAACTTGATATAGCCTCGCAGAGCAGTTGGTATTCGCGTTAATTGTGGGAGTCAGAAAATTAAGGCCATGCTTTCAATCTCATACCGTACAGGTCATGACCGATCAACCTGTCAAGCAAATTTTGCATCGCCTTGAAACGTCTGGTAGGATGTTGAAATGGACAATCGAGCAGAGTGAGTTCGACATTGTGTTTAGGCCAAGAACGGCCATCAAGGCACAAGTGTTGGTAGACTTTATCGTAGAGCTAACAACTCCGCCTGACTACCCCCTACAAACAAAAGAGTTTGGAAAATCTGTGGATGGATCCTCATATGGAGAGGGGTCCAGAGCAGGCATCATTATGATAGGACCAGAATTTGAAGAGCTGGAATATTCGTTACGCTTTGAGTTCTCAGCAACGTATAATGACGCTGAGTATGAGGCAATCATCACGGGATTGAGTTTGGCAGCCATACTTGGGATGACATCAGTTGAAATCTGCAGTGATTCCAAGCTAATTTTTGGATAGGTGATAAGTAAATTCTAGGCAAGGGATGGGAAGATGACATCCTATCTGATGAAGGTTAGGGACTTGCAAAGGAAATTTACGAGTTGCAAGATAACCAAGGTCCCTCGCAGAGACAATGAGCAGGCAGACTCCCTGTCTAAGCTAGCATCGACGAATCCGAGAAATCTACCTAGCACGACGAACGTACAAGTCTTGTGACAACCTAGCATTTTGTTCATAGAGGGCACAAGAATCCTGAACATGAAAAAAGTCGATTAGATCCATTACTAAGACTACCTAACGGAGAATAAATTGTCAAATGATGCACAGGAGGCTAAAAATACAGGCAGCATCATTCACCATGATCGACAGGCAGCTATACAAGCGAGGATTTACCATGCCATACCTGAAGTGCTTGCGTCTAACTGAAGCTCAAGAGGTATTACTGGAGATACACTCGAATATTTGTGGCAATCACCCAAGGACAACTAACTTTTCTTTCAAAGCTCATCAGCATGGGTACTACTGGCCCACGGTGAAGGACGCCAAAGAATTGGTAAAGAAGTGTGATTCATGTTAGCATCATGGAAATTTGATTCATGTCCCTGCAGAGCAACAATCAACCATTTTCGAGGTAAGCCCTTTCTTTTAGTGGGGGATGGATATTCTAGGGTCCTTGCCCATGGCCAGGGGAAGCGGAAGTTTTCCTGGTGGCTATTGATTATTTTACCAAATGGGTAGAAGCAGAGCCTTTGGCCACTATTACAACAACAAAGGTACAAAGCTTCATTTGGAAGAACATAATATACAGATTCAGCATACCAATAGTCATCGTCACCGATAATGGCAGGCAGTTTGACAAACACGGCTTCAGGGCTTTCTGTTCAAACTATCACATAGATCACATACTTACTTCAGTAACTCATCCCCAATCTAATGGGCAGGCGGATGTAACAAACTGAACGATCTTGTAGGATCTCAAAACGAGATTGGAGAAGGAAAATGAGCTTTGGGCAAACGAACTACCTAATGTGTTGTGGGCGTATCACACGACCCCACGAGATCCCACAGGAAAAACACATTTCAAGCTAGCCTTTGGGGTGGAAGTTGTTGTCCTGGTGGAAGTCCTAAACGAGTTCGACAAGATGAAAGCCAACCAGCTTGATGTTTCTACCACCCATGCAGAGCTTGACTTACTAGGTGGGATGAGGGAAAGAACAGTTATGAGGATGATGGCTTATAAGTGGAGGGCCGCTAGGTACTTCAATCGTAAGGTAAAACCAAGAGTTGTCCAGTGAGGAGATCTCGTACTTAGGGAAGCAACAATAGCGGGACACGCTCCATCTAAGCTTGGCCGGATTGGGAAGGACTGTATGAGGTGATCTGAAGCCTTCGAAATGGAGATTACAGCCTGAAAAACTTGAAAGGAAAACCACTAGGCAGACCATGGAACGCTGTATACCTCAAGAGGTATTACCAGTAAACAAACTAGCAGGAAATTCGAGCAGCATGATGCCTGCCTGTAAATATAGTTGCTAGGGGAGTTTTTTATTTCTTCTTTTTGATGTAATGATCACATGTAAGTATTGTAGTTAGGATTTTCATGATGTAATTAATGCCTGCTACAGGTCACTTGATTGAAAATTGTTTAATGAAAGTCTAAGTGGCGGCAGATGATGGACGTCCAGGTGCGCCTACTGAGTTCTCAAATCTTGGCAAGTTAATTTCTACTATGAGATTTCGGTCTATGATTGATTGAAGCGAAGACTACAAATCTCCATTATCATCCCCAAAATAACTCGAAAATCGCTAAGGGCTGGTGGTGAGTTTTCAAGACCGAAAACGGTTAAGGCTCAAAATTAACTAACCCTGCCCTCGATGATCCAAAGTAGCTCAATGCATAGTGGTGAGCAAAATAGTCAAGAAATTGACTAGTTCGAAATCGCTAAGGGCTAGTGGTGAGTTTTTAAGACCGAAAACTGTTAAGACTCAAAATCACCTGACCCTGCCCTCGATGATCCAAAGTAGTTCGACGCATAGCGCTGAGCAAAAAAGTTGAGAAAGACCAGCTCAAAATCGCTAAGGGTTGGTGTTGAGTTTTTAAGATCGAAAACGGTTAAGACTCAAAATCACCTGACCATTCCCTCGACGATCCAAAGTAGCTCGACGCACAGCGGTGAGCAAAAAAGTCGAGAAATTGACTAGCTCAAAATCGCTAAGGGTTGGTGGTGAGTTTTCAAAATCTAGAATTGTTATGGCTCAAAATCACCAGACCCTGCATTTGATACCGCTCAATACATAGTGGTGAGCAACAAAGTCGAGAAATCGACTAGCTCAATAATGTAAGAGTTGGTGATGAGTTTTCAAAATCTAGAATAGTTAAAGCTCAAAATCACCGAACCTTACATTTAACACCCCAAGATCGTTTGATACATAATAATGAGTAATAAAGATAGACAAATAAGCAAGCATTCTAATGTCTGTCCACATCCTGGACTAGGAAAAAAATACTAAACAGCTGAATGATAAATGTCGACTAACAGTATAAAGAGCTAAAAGACCTACAACTAAATGTCATGTCAACCCGAATGTGAAGTCCCTTCACTCTCGCCTCGTGATGTGTGCCTAAATGTCTTGGATTGAGGGGCTCCGCCTTTATTTCCTTTGCGCAGTGACATAAACCAATCGAAGCCTGAGGGATCAATGTTAGGATTCTCAACAGATATACATTCCTTGGTCAGCTTAATAGACGCGGCCATCGCCTTCCCCCCTTAAGAATGCAAGGCCTTAGCAAAATTAGATGACGACTTGTACTGTTCCACAGAAACCTGCAGATCTTTAGCATACTCTTTGGAAGCTTTATATTTCTCCACCATTTCCTCGGGAGCCTGAGCAAAAATAGAGCGCAGGTTGTCCACCTCCGTCTCTTACTAGCAAGCACGAGCCTCTGAAGCTTCAAGAGACTTCTTCAAAGAAGAGATTCTCTTCCTGTACTGATGAGACTATTTTTTCCTTTTCTTTTGTAAGGGCCTTCTTTTCTTCGGCTTGAAGAACCACAACCTAAAGGAAACAAGATATCAAATAAATACGGGACATGAACAAAAGAATAGAACAACAAAAACAAAGAAGAACAATACAAAATTTACCCTATGAGTGTGGATCGCAAGAACTCTCTCAATGTCGCAAGCATTTCACCCAGTGATCGCTTGTGTGCATTCAGGTATAACCGAGGATCTGATTGCCCTCATCTCCGAATAGCCCTGAGAGGGAGGGATTCCAAAATCTGGAAGGGGAGAAGCCACACGCTCGATCAGCCACAACTCGAGTTATCCCCTCCAGCCTCGGGTGGTGTGATAATTTCAACAGGCTCAACCAAAGGTTGAGGTGCCTCATCGGTGCGACGATGTAGTACTCCTCTGTCATTGGTCTTCTTCCTTTTCAACGGAATGAAAGGTGAGTCATCATCGCTCTCGCGATCGTATCCCACCAAGGAGTCCATGGTTTTCTCAAAGTTGAACTTCATCCCTGTACACACAAAGTAAAGTCTATCAAGTTTACAAAACAACAAGTCATAAGATGCACAAAAGTAAAACTATAAGCGAAACATGCCGGATCTTACCATCAATAAGGATGAATCCCTCATCGCTCCCAGGCTCGGGTATGGACTTCAATTCGTCCAAGTCAAAATTCATATCTACACGTAAGCAATCGAGTCAATCAAGCCCAAGAAATTAAGATAAGATAAAGATATTCACATATGTGAAGATACAAGCAAAGTAAAAGGACCTACTGATAGGACGATCGATCCCCACTAGCAACATGTTCCTCATTGTTAAAACTGACCCAAGGTCGAGCGCAAGGGTGGGATTTTAATCAGTTGCTGAATTTGAACATTTAGAATAGGGGTGATATCGACTTCACTATTGAAAAGACGAATTAAAGGATGCCTCCAATGGGTATTAAAAGATAATTGACCATCATTGGGTCGAACAAAGAAGAATCGAGATTTTCACCCACTGTTGGAATTTCTAAACTTGAGAAAGCACAATGAGACCCTAGTGGTAAAGTAGACGAAGACGTTGCATTGGACTAGCTCATGCATCTCGAAAATGCACCTAAAGAGGTCCATCGAAAGTGAAATTTTCTTGCTAAGGCAAACGTATAGGAAATATAGCGCTTTTCTCCACACGTTGGGATTAATTTGGCTAGGGATGAGGTGAAACTCATTAAATAATGAGACGAACATATGTCTTTTGGGAGAACTCAGTTGGAAAGGATGAAATTCAGTCGGATGGAATGGGCTATTGGAGTCATCGAATATTTGAACATCATGAGCGGGGATATCGACATGGCCGGTCGACGGGTCCAAAACTCGTCAACTAGTCGATGGTCGGCCAGCTAAGGGGTTGGTCGACCCGCCGACTGGCAGTCAACCGACTAAGCTGGTCGACCGGCCTCCCAGTCGACTTTCGTCGACCAGTAAGGTCTGTATTAGCCTTGATTGACCCATCCGACGTTGTCAATCGATTTATACACTCCCTCACCATCACTTCCGTCGGATGAGGAAGATATGTTTTATACATGAAAGATGAAGAAAACCAAAATGATAGGAAATAAAGAAAAAACTAGGAAGAGTGGATACAAGAATTACCTTGAAAGCTAAAGGATGTGGAGGTTTGCAAAGTGTAGTAAAAATGCATCTTTCACCTCTTTAAATAGAGGTGAAATTTTGAATTTTACAATTTGAATTTTTTGGGGGAAAATTTCCCCACAATGCCAAAAACCAATTGGAGAGAGCTATTTGTACAGTATTTGTTACTCTACGTTAATTGGACTGATCGACTAATTTACGTTAACTCATTTTAAAAAAATTAAAAAATATTTTAATCAACCGGCATGGAGAGGCTACCCTTTATCGATATATGTCAACAAGAGATAGAGGGGTTAGTGATATAAGATGTGTTAATAATTATCCACAATGTCCAACTACTTAATATACACCCCCTGTAGAGCACCACATCATAAGCCGTCTACCACTATGAGGTCGTAAACCTCCATGGGGTCCTCTACGTTTACATAGGTCGTCTACCACTATGAAGCCGTTGACCCCCGTGAGGCCCTCTACGAACACATGGGCTATCTACCACTATGAGGCCGTCAACCCCCATGAGGCCCTCTACGTTCACACAAGGCCGCCAACCACCATACGACCAATACTATACTTAGCCAAATAAATGGTAATGAGTTGGACGAAAACTGTCCATTAGCGAACATGGACATAACCAATCGCTTGACGACTGTGGGTCACAACTCTAGAACTTTGGGGAAGTGGGAAGGCATACATGGAACACGTGGCATAATTAATCATAGAACAGGAGTGTGTCATTAGGTGCCTATAAATACCCCCAAGGTGAGGAAATGTATTCTTCTTGAAACCCGAACTATTTGAATTCCACTATAATCTCTTCTTATTCTAAAAAATCGAACACTAATTCTCGCGCCGGAGGTACAATGAGAGAGAAAGCACCGACCTCATTTTGCAGGTAGCAATCACTGATCGGATCAGTTGGAACACCCTTCACGTCAGTGAGAACACTAAATTTAGCTCATTACTATTTCAAGGTTTATAACAAATCCAATAAATTAAAAACTCTTTTGACCATACAAAAATAAAAATGATGTCCGATTTATCATTACATTGAATTTTTCATGATATAATTTAACAAAATGAATACGCCCCAATTCCTTTTTATCTTCTAAAATAACTTCAATATCCACCTTAAGAAAGTAAATAAAAATTATAAAATAAATTCATTTGTACAAAATTAATGACTGTGTGAAATATTTTTTTTATTTATTCAAATCATATTAATGTAATGATAGTGCTATAACAACTTACATAATGGTTCACCAACAAATAATGTGACTAGATTTAATTGGATCAAAATCTCATCAATTGAATAACATTCCCACTTTTATTTTGACACCTCATTATTATGTAAATAGTTATGTACAATAAATAGTTTCCTTAATGTAATATCAAAACTTTACCAAGTAGTCATTAATATTTGCCCTTGTAGATCATCAAAACCATAGTAGTGTGAATTCTACATAAAAACAAATATTATTAACTTTAGAGTACACTTTCAAATGTAATTTCAAGTGTAGAATTTACATTCAATAGATGAATTTTACAACTTAAATATCCAAAGAAATACGAGAATATCTAGTCGTGACTGAAAGCATGAATCAAGTCTTACAAACAAGAGACAAATCGGAGATTTCTACATCTATCAAATATGAAAGATACTTTGTCACTAATATGCATCATGTCAACATCGTAATTCTCTCTATTAGCTCATTGGCAAAGTCTAATATTTCCTATTTGAATATTTTTTAGAGCAATACGTGTAAAGTCACTCCACCACAATGCACTAAGATGTATATTGATGAAAATGAAACAAATAGTAAAGATGATCTCATTGAGAAGTGTTCACAAAAATATATTTCGGATTAATACAACCGCAAGTGTACGGTTC